TGTAATACCTACCCCGATTCCATCTGGTACACGAACCGTTTCCTAGATCAGCCCACATGGAAAGAATATTCTGGATGTGCCATCGCACTGACTGCTCATGTGCCTTAGTTGACATATTTGCTACAAAGGTTGGTTCCTTTTCACTGTGTCCAAGTTCTGAGCCACGAGTGAGTTTATTCACTTATTAAAGGCAGGGGCTGCTTTTCCTCTTTACACATTCTTTAAAGACGAAGAGTTTGCAAATTGTAGGCCTTCAGTAAATATTACGTACTGTCCATTGATTACTGAAAATATTTTATATATTTTACTCATCTGAAAAGGATACCATTGATTTTTTAATATCAATTATTGATAAGAAATTTGAGAAGCTTTTTGACCTCATTTCTTCCCGACATCCTAAGCTTCCAAGATATTAACATATTCCATTAAAAACTATTTTAACCCTCCTCAAATCTTAGTCTCAATACCCACTTGTCTTTAACCATTTTAGAATATTTTGTCTGAGACTTTTGTTTCTGCTTGTTGTTTTTGAATACCAAAAAAAAAAAAAAGAGAGAGAGAGACAAAATTGAGTACTTTAGAGAGAAAATGGATGATTTAGAGTATCAGGGCATTTTCTTGACGAGGATATTTTACTAGTTTTTTTTTGAAAAGTGAGATAAATAGTGACACACCACCAAGGGGAAATCACTGATTTCTTCAAATAGACTGTCTGTAGGTTAATGTTTTGTGTGAAATTCTGGAGGTTTCTGGTCCTCTGGTGGGGAAGGAAATATGCGTGGTTGGCGCACATCTGTTTTAACTCCCCCAAGAATTTTTATAGAGTCCGTGTCCCCTCAGGGCCTCAATAGACACATTACACTGGGATAATTCTCCTTCTCATTCTGTCGTCTTCTCCCATTTATTAGGCTAATTAATTTATTTTAATAAGGAAAACTGCATTCTCTTTCAGTCAGGGCGGCCCCCAGGCCCTCAGGGCTGGGATTCTTGTTTTCAGCTGTTTCCTTGAGATTTTCTGGCCCGGCAGCAGCTCCTTTGGTCTTCTTCCGAGCAGGAGGGAAAATGTCTGATGTGGAGAAACTCTGTCATTTCACAAAGTGAGTAGAAAAAAAAAAAAAAGGCCCCCTACTCTGGAAGTGACGGCTGAACATGTTTTCATGAGTTTTTACCGGGGATTTTCTCGAGGGAGGTGATGGTCAGCCCTGGGCCTCACGGTTGCTGTAGTGTGGGGGGAAGTCTTCGAGCTGAAACAAACATCTTCCCCCAAACCTAAAGTACAATTGTTAGGCATGTGCATTCCAGCAAAACAAACAAAGTGTTGAGTGGCAATGGGTTGCTTTCTGGACATCTGTCCCCCACGGAACGCTGCTCCAGGGTCCTTGTCCTTGCTGCAGCTCTGACGCCGGTGGGAACATACTGTGTGCTGCGTGGTGGCCCGGCCTCACGCTGGAGCTGCTGTGGTCGCTGTATTTCCTTGTCGTGTTGACTATGATCCAGCGTTTCCCAGCTCGGCACTGATAGCAGAAGGTACTGTTCTGTGGGTGTGGAGTGGACACAGGCTTTCATTTCCAAGACCGTAATGCAAACAAATAAAAAAAAAAAAGAAAGATTTCTTCTTGAAAGCCCCTGGGCTTGTCTGCAGGGGCAGAGGGTGCTGGTTTCATGTTCCATTATCAAATCCCCCGCAGGACCTGACACAAACCTGAGCTTGGGTCCTCTTCATGGCAGGCCGTAAGGACCGCTGTTCGCACTTGGTGTTTGCGGGTGGGGGTCACTTTCTCAGCAAACTCTCATTTCCCGACACATTGCCTTGGGCTAAGAGTCAGGTACAAAGCTCAATCTCCAAAGTGTCAAAGCTAATGGAAAACAAGAGAAACCATAAAAGAGAAAGATGGCTGCAGTTACTACCCTGGCTCCTGTCACTCAGCCTTCCTAGATCCATCAACCAGTTAGAAGGGCAGGCTCGTGCCTCTGCAGCTCTGGCCACCGTGGCCCCCCAGCACCCCTGGGGCACCATTCGTCAAAGAGCCCTCCTGGAAGAGCAGCCTAGCCAGACCCGGCTGCCGAGCAGCTAAAGCAATCGAACCGCACTCCAGGTTCCCCAGACTGGTCACAGGCGCGTTGACGCCAATCATGAGAGGTAAAAACTAGGAGCCTGTAGCTTACAGGGCAGATGGCCTTTTCCTCCTCCGTTGCCTCCTGGGCTGCTGGGAAGCCCGGATTTAGAGGAAGTCCAACGCATTCGGATTGGGAGGAGAGTTTTAGGGGGATACTCAGCTCTTCTAGCCTGGATTTTGCCATGGCGGGGAGACTGAGACCCAGACAAAGCGTCTAATGGTGGAGATCTCTGGCACTTAAAGGAAAGGGTATCAGCAATAGCTGCCTCTGGTGAGGGGACAGGAGGGGGCGCGAGGTTCTCCCCTCCCCCCCCTCCTTTCCTCCCTCCCTCTCTCCCCCTCCCTTCTGACACACATCCTGAACACTGTTATGTACCCAGCACAGTACTGCATATCTGGTCTGTAACAGTGAGCAAACTAGAGGCAGTCCTTGCCCTCATGGAGTTTACATATTAGCTGGGAAGGTGTATTTAAGAAAACATTCATCAATAAGTATGAAACTACTACTGTGGAAAGTGCTGTGAAGGGGAGGAGCAGGATGCCTGCAGGTATGTGATGAATTAGGGAAGAGACTGACCCATGGCCACTGAGACCTGCCCTTGGGACCTGCCCGTCGTGTGTCAGCCTTTCAGAGCCTCCAGGTCACACCTGGAAGTGGCATTTAAGAGGGAGGATGTGTGTGCGTGGATCCGATGCCTGCATGTGCCACTGCTGCTCTCATGGGTTCTCGGCCTGCCTTCTGCTCCACATTCGATCCCTCATCTCAGCCTGTTTCTAACAAATGGCGAGAAAAATACATTCACCCCCGGAGACCGGGCCTTTCTGAGACAACATTATTGGAAGGTAACCATTACCTGTCATCAGCGGTAGAGAAGACATAAATTATGGAGGTTAAAAATAATTGTAAACTGTGACAAAATAGGGGCTTGGGAGACCTAATTTATTCAGCTAATCTCAACTCCCTTCTGTGTTCTGGTTAAATGGGCCCAATCCCCAAACACTGTTAGTGGCTTCAGGAAAGAGAGTAACCATTCTGTAGCTCAGGCTCCGAGAGGAAAGATAGAAGAAAACGTTTCCTGGAATGAGGCTGCAGTGCGCCCTACTCTCTCCGTGTTGCCTCCTTACGTGACGACACTCCACCTGGTGCCGGTCAGGCCATGGTGACCTGGAGACTCGGTGTGGACAGGTGGAGGCCCCAGTGGGTCTGCTGGCGTGACTGTTAGTGACAAAAAGTACATGACGAAGGTAAGGCTAACTGTTAACAGGGGTTAAATTCAGCTGATGGGTACTTGGATCTTCAATATACTATGCTCTCTACTTTTCTGTATGTTTTAAATTTGCTGTAATAGAAGTCTAAAAATAAACAGAAAATGGAGGTATGCATCTATTTAATAATTGTAGACTACAATAGCAATAACAGCATTTGAGGGACTGAAACTGGTAAAGGTTAATAAAACAATAATGCTCAGTGGTGAGAAGGCTGCAGGATGAGTGTTCTCTTTCCTGTGCTGCTAGTAAGAGTCTACATTTAATTGTAGACAAGCAAAAGTTTCTGGAAAGCAATTGGGAAACAGAAGTCCTAAAATGTTCATACGTTGCCTCTATGTGCATAGATGCTCATACATACTTTTACTAGTTACTCGTTTTGTTAACTCCAGGCAACCATGTGTCGGATGAGGGTAGTGCCTCATTGAATCAAATTCCACTAATGCAAAATCTGCAATGTTTCAAATGCGCCCGACTCAAACGCATTTGTCCTGTGGTGCGTAGGTTTAATAAATTAGCTTATGGTTATGTTAGATGGCAAAGCTTATTACATTTTAAAGGCAAATAAGCTTAAACCATGTATTTCCTTTTTTAAAAGTTAAAATGTTAACACCGAGTGATTATCTTCTATTTATGCACTTAGAATTTAATATTAAAATAGTTTGATTCATTCTTTTATTCTTGTTGGAGTAAACGTATTTGAAGCAGGGGGAATTTTATTTTTCATTTTATTTGTACCCTTCCAAGCATTCTGTTATGCACAATGAGAAGCCATTTGAGTTTTTTAGGAACATTTGCTTGTCTTAAGGAATGTCTGCTAGGACGGAATTGTTTGTTACTTATATCCAACATTCTGTATTTTTCTACTTGGCATTCTGGTATTCAAATTTTCAGGTATTCTCTTATTAGGAATTTATTTTTGAAACAAGACCGAGAAGAGAATGCTGTGTTGTATTTATTTCCAAAATCGCAGTGAGAAATGATGGCTCCCCTCCGTGGCACTGTTAAGAGAATTCTTGCTGCGCTAAACCTCCAATGGCATAGACAGGTGACTTTATTTGTTTTGCATTGTGATTTGAATTCTATGTCACTGCCGTATTGGAAGTCTCTTTATTAGAGCTGTAGCTGGGATGTCTCTCTCCTCTCTCTCTCTGTCCTGTTTTCTCCTTGCTCTTCCCGTCAGTGGTAGCTGGAAATGGTTCACAAGAGACAGAAGCTATTCTGTTCATTAAGCAGCCTCAAAAAATAAGAGAGAGAAAAGTTTTCGTTATGTTTCAGGCAAAAGAATTTCATCCCACCTCGGGTAAATAAAAATTGAATTCCATAACCTCATATTGTGTTTCAAATTTAAAGGTTTGCATCATTTTCAAAGGAAACAAATAATTTCCCTAATTTTTAGTGGCTGTAGAATTGGGTGAAAATAAGTATGTCTAGCCTCCATAGTATTATTAACAAACATTTCCACACTCGGGAATTGAAAGGTTCGCGTGGGTTGAGTGTGGTGTGCTCTTACGGTATTTTTTAAAAGCATGAAAAGAGAACACCCTAGCCATACCGCTACTTGAGAGAGAGCTTTGTGTAGAAAGAAAATAGTTTCTTTTTCTTAAGGCCTAGGAACAACATTAAACTTGGATTACGCTCCAGCTGAGGCCTGAATAATGCAATGGAGGTAAGCAGGTCATCATTGTGGTGACACCGTACTAGAAATGTCACCACATTTTGTTGAGACCCACAACAAACACTGTAGGTTTGCATGAGCGCTTCAGCGGCCTCCTGCAGGCGCTGCAACTTCCTGGGACTTTTTGAATGTTTTTTTCCCTACATTTTTCCTTCAGCGTCCCTTTTGGAGACTAAGCCTGAAGGAAGACGATGTCTGAGATTGACAGTGTGGAAGTCGCTAGAGCCAGAAGGACAGCAGCTGGTTCTGAAGACCCAGCTCCAAGATGGTGAGGTGAGCCTCCTGGGTCCACAGGTCAAGCTGGTGACCTCTAACTGCCTGGGGGCCTGCAGACAAATTTAGAAACAGGAGAATGCTGAGGAATGCCGATAGAGTGTGTCTCTCCCAACTGCAAATTTTAAAAGAGAAGAAAATGACATGCTATATGCTAGCTCCGGTGAGTGCAGTGGAGTGAAATCGGTTAAGTTTGGTTTTGTGACTCTACAGGGCTCCACACAGACCTCTGACCTCCCACCCACAGACCCTCAGGCCTGGTGACCCGACTTCCTGTTCTGCCCACCCCTCCCCCACCCACCGTCAGAATTCTTCCTCCGGCAAACAGCACACACCAGTCTTCTTGGAATGTTTCCAAGGTGAAGGCTCACATAAAAATGAGTCAATAAGAACAAATCCTGCCACACAAGCCATGTTTCCTTTTTT